CCCAAAACCCCATGGATAAAAATATTGGTATAAATAGCAGGATAAACATGCAATCATGAATTTGTAAATTAAGAAAACAATAGATTATAAATTTAGAATAAAATGGAAAGAGTTTTGAAACTAGATAAAGACATCTTTAATTTGATTAATAGTGTAAGAGCTGATCCAAAGTCTTTCATTCCTTCAATTGATGCAGTTCTTAAGTCGTTAGATGGCGATGTCATTAGAAGAGAAGGCAAGACTAATGTCAGAACTAATGAAGGTGCAAAAGCAGTTAAAGAAGCTATAGAATATTTATAGAAAGCTGAGAAGTGCCCAGCTCTGAAATGGTCTGATGAGTTGGCCAAAGCAGCAAAAGAACATGTTGATGACACTGGCCCTAAAGGTTTAATGCAACATGAGAGCTCTAAGGGCGTCTCTGTGAAGGAAAGAGTATCTTAGTTTGGCAAAATCATAAACTGTTATGGAGAAAATTTATCATTTCACTGTGATGAAGCAATCGAAGTACTTCAGTAACTTATCATTGATGATGGAGTTTCCGAGAGAGGTCATCGTGAAAACATCTTTAACAAAGATTTCAAGGCATTTGGCTGCTATAGTGGGCCTCATAAAGACTATGACTGCATGACTAGTTTGATATTTGCTGGTGGAATGGTAAAAAAGGGAGACCCTGATCCCATTGAAGAACAGATGCAGGCTTATCTGAAAGAGCAGGTAGATATTGAAATGCCTACAGATGTTAGAAGTTGGAAGTAGAATACCAAGGTGCATGTTCAAGGCAATAAAGCTAGCAAAACTATCACGAGAGTTTGCATACTTAAGGATGGAAGTGAAAAGACTGTTACTAAGACTTTAACAAGGGAGTTTACAATTTGAAACAGTGTGCTTCTAAAATCATATAAATATACATACAAAATATTAGCAGTCCATTGTATAATTTCAATTTACTTAAACTATCAGAAATCAGGTCTAAAGGGGTTTTGGGGTTTTGGGGTTTTGGGG